TAATTACACATATTAAATATTTTATCCCATGGTAGTTCTAGCTAACACATGGGTTTAGCAAGGATATTTTAGAAAATACAACATCTACTTATTATAAATAACTAATTTAACTAATTTTTTAATATACTCAAATTAGTCAACTAGTTTTTATATTAAGAATTAGAGATAATATTTATTAATTAAAAAACATAGCAAAGTCATCATAAGGTATAGATATTTATCCTAATTTGTCAACTATGCACTTGTTAGACAAGATAAAAACTCTCATCTTACATGAATATTACTTTTAATCCTTAATATAAGAACTAGTTGATTAATTTGAATAAATTAAGAAAGTTTGTTAAGTTGGTTATTTGTAATAAATATGTGTTGTCTTTTCTAAACTACTTTTACCAATCATGTGCAATAGGTAGAACCACCATTTGATGAAATATTTAGCATAAGCAACTATTACAATAATTACCTTACAAAAATAGATAAATACAAGAGATAAAATGAATTAGAGTCTTATATTTACTACTCCTCCGGTCCTAATTATAAGACCCAATTGACTTATTTGAGGAGATTAAGGAAGAAAGTTAAGTTGGTTATTTATAATAAATAAGTGTTGTTATTCCTAAAATATCCTTGCTAATTAAGTATATTAGCTAAAACTATCATTATTAGAAGGATTATATTGGAAAAAAATGCATAAATATAAAAGAGAAAATGGATTGGGTCTTATAATTAGGACCAAATGAAAAGTCAAATTGGGTCTTATAATAAAGATCGGAGGAATATCATATTAAAAGTTAATATAGCTTTTATATTAAGAATCAGAAATAATATTAGTATTAGTTAACGTCAAAACATGAAGGTTACAATGTTTTGGTTGGAAACAAAAAAGCGAGAAGCGTCTCAACTAATAGTGCTACCACAAGTTTTGCATGTTTGTTATCGTTAACTACATGATCCACAACTTATGAATACATGTATAACTTGTGATACTGCTCTCCTTAGTTGTCCATTATAATTGCAAGCTAAAAGGCATTTTTTAAACTGAGACCACTCCGATCAAAATTAAATAAATGTTTCGTTAAAAAAAATTCAAAAAGAGATATAAAGCCAACGCGTTTCTTCCACTCAAAATCTTTTTAGCATCACAAGTGAAACAATAAAAAAATATATATATGAAAGAAAAATGGCTCGATATTAATGAACAGTGTTCACACACAACATGATTTGCATGGGGACAACATGAGAAACCAAGGCCACGTGGCAGATAACGAAGATGGGTGTGGGGAATATTAGTGGTCCTAATTAATAACAAGCACGAGGAGATAAAACAACCAAACGTGGCATCCAAAAGATAATGGATGCCACGCCAAATCATATTTTTAGAATTTCTGCCAAAATTCTAAATGAAAAAAATTTAACCAAAGAAACTAGACTCTCATGATAAAAAAATAAAAATAAAAATTAGATACCCATATTTATTTCTTTTCCAGTCATAAACATATGCTCCATTTTATAATGTAAAATTCTTATTATAAATATAAAATCTATTTTGTAATATAATTTTATATTACAAAATGTGATTTATATTTGGCATTAGAGAAGTAATAATTATGAATCTAAACACTCAATATGCAGTTAAAGAGTGATTCCTAACACCAACGGGATTGGTTCAAGTGGTAAGCGGCTTGGTACAGTTTAAACGAGGTCTCGGGTTTGACTACTAGTAGTATAAACTTATTTTGGTCTTAAGATAAAAGGTAATTTTTGGTTATGGCAATGCCGCATGGAATGCTATTTCCTTTTTAAACAAACTGATATATTAAATTTTCTATGTACATTCTTTAATATAAGATTTGGTTTATTAATTTAGAGAAATTAAACATATTATTAAATTATTTTAAACTATTTATATTTATTTTTTTCCTGAACTAATTTATTTCACTTATAAATTGATATATAATTTAATTAATACTTATAATAAAAATAAGTCCCCATCATAAAATAAACAAATGTGAGGCTCGTGTGAGTCGTTGGTTGACCCGAAAAGCAAGAGTTAGGTACCGACAAATAATTGTCATTGCTGACAAAGTATTCCAATAAATTATTTCTTTAATTAATTAATAGCCCTACACCCATACATGTGCTGTTTTTCAAGCTTTTTTTTTTTGGTCAAGTGCTGTTTTTCAAGCTTTAACTAATAATTGATCGGGTAGATTACTGGTTTACGCGTCCTTTTTTTGTTTTTTGGTACTTTGGACCAATAAGTTATTGAGAATATTCCCAATAATTTTTCTAATTTTTATTATAAGATCTGGTTAATTAATCTTATAAAAAAATTATTTAAGTTAATTATTTATAATAAATATGTTTTTTCTTCTCATAAATATTTTTGCCAATCTTGCATATTGAATAAAACTACCATTTAATAGAACCTTTAATATATGCAAATACTTTAGGAACTATTTTGTGAAAAATAGATAAATATGATAAACAAGTTGAATTGGGGTCTTATATTTAGAATCAAGTTAAATATAAAATTAGTCCTAATATTAAGGATAAGAGGTGGTGGTATTCACAATGTCACATGCTTATTTGTAATTATCGTCATAATATTATAAATTTTAGTTATTTTATTTTATGTTGATGATTTTTGGATAAATTCATGTTGTTGACTTGTAGTAAAAATATGTATTCATGCAAATGCTACACATTATTTTTTAAAATAATTATTGCAATTGAATTCATGAAAATATGTAAGAATTTTATATCCGAAAATTTTAAACTCCATGACAATGGACTTGACGCCAATCTCCAAATGGCCTTTAATATGCTTTTGTTTTTAGAATTATTAAAAATAGAAATATGTCCTCTGGACTTAATTTGCAGTACAATTTTAATATATGAAGACAGTGACTATGGCTTAAGAATCATAGGGTCCCTTTGGTACGAGGGAAACAGAGGAAAAAAGAGGGGAAGAAAAATTTTGATGAGCTCATTTTAAAAAATTAAAAAAGTGGGGTTAAAATTTTTGATTTATTTTAATTATTCTTTTATCTTACATGTTCTTTTTGTCAAAATTTTATAACCTCACTTTTTCAATTTTTTTAAAACAAGCTCATCCAAATTTTCCCTGCCTTTCTTTTCCCTTTATTTCTCTCGTCCCAAACATACCAATATAGTTCTCTTTTGTCATGTGAATTTAGGGTATCTGATCATTTTGAAGTTAAAACAAATTTATGTTAAATTTGGTGGATAGCCTCAACACTAAAGCCCTTCGAATAATAAATCAAACTCTTAAAATTTAAATTTGTGCTTTTGCTTATATGTGAATATGACTACTTGTCGTTGGTGAAAATAGAATTTTAACTTTCTTTTTAGGAGAAATCACAGAAAAAGACTCTAGAATTTCAAAAACGCAGATAAAAATCCGTGACAACTTCACTATGGATTTTCACAATTTTATGATATATTATTATTGTTAAAAGCCATAGTGAAATTGTTACGGGTTCTTATTTGTATTTTTCAAATTTCAGGGTTTTTAATTAATATTTTTCCTTTTTTTTTAGTTTTTTAGGTATGAAGGAAATAAAAATAGGGGAGGGGAAATTTTTTTAATAAATTCAATTTTAAAAATTTAAATAATAGAGATTATAAAATTTTAATAGAAAAGAGATGTAAGATAAAATAGTAAGAAAAATTATAAAAATTTCTGTTTTTTTTTTAATTTTGTAAATCAAACTCATTACTAGAGATGATTATTTGAGGGGAAAATGGGACAAATAATTTTCCATGTATAACAAAAAGAAAAAGGACGTGGCATCACCGTCCTCTTCATTAATCAATTTGTGGACAAAGCATTGTACAAAAAAAATTCCAAAAGTCACTTTGGTTGTTCACCCACACAACAAGCGCGTCTCTCTCAACTTTCCTCATCATTCAAATAAGGGAAAATGACGCTCTGCGGCCAAATAAAAATGATAATAGCATTTTATTGGCGCTAAAATTATGAAATGCAGATTAGCTACAGTGTTTTAACCGACATTTAGCACAGCTGTTTGAGAAATCAAAAGTACAATTATTTGAAAACAATGCTTTTATTCATTTTACACACACAGAGACACAAATAAAAGGTAGAAATTCTGAAAAGTTATATTAGAAATTCTAGAAGCTTAGTTAGAATTTTTCAATTAGGCATTTTTTCACTCTCCGTTTTTAAAAATAGTAAAAAAAAAAAAAAAGGAAGTTAGAAAAACAATGGATACAGTTATCAAAGAAAAGAAAAGAAAAACAATGCATGAAAGTTGGAAATGCTAAACTGCTAGGAAGTGATGAATATAAAAATGACAAACTATTTTTTTTTTGACCAGGAAAAATGACAAACTACTTGAAAATGGCTCAGTCTGTGCTTTTATTATTACCAAGTTATTTTTTCCCCAACATCATTACCAATTTAATTTCAAATATTTCCAACTTGTACGTGAATAAGGGCATTTTGATATTGACTTTTTTTTAATATTAATCAAAATACCAACTTCTAATCTTTTTTATTGGGACAAAGCTTGTATCCATATACATATCCATCAAATCCAATTCTCCAATCACATCTTAGTACATAATAAAAATTTCAATATGTCAATATTTGATTGGAGAATTGAGAGAGAGGTATATATACACATATATATATATAAAACCAAATGGATGTAAATTTGTCTTTTTATATCCATACTTAATTTTTATATATGCATGCTATGATATATACTAAATACACATTTTATTGGAAGTCTTATCATATGATCGGGCTAAGGGACATGACCATTGGATATAAATAATTTTTTTTAGCTGCCATCATCACAATCCATTAAAAATACCAAATTTTGACCCCAAAGGGGACTGAAGAATGAACAAAGATGAGAATCAGAGCATATCCGAACAGTTGAGGTCTCTTTATGAGACTACCTACGAGTAGGAGAAGCTACGAAGAAGAGAGGCTCTCCTATTTTACTCTATTTGCCACCGCATGTTTCGTTTCTCTGTCTTCACTCTGCTTCTCTTTCTTCTTCTTATTCTGGATTTAAGAGATTGACTTCTACGCTCTTCGCTTCACTTTATCTCGGATTGCCTCGTAACATTTTCTCCACCCAGTTTTGGGTATAGCGCGAAGCAGAACCATCGCTGGTAGGAATGTTTAGCATGCTTGTTTGGTTGCTGAGAAAATCAGAAAGCTGCGAAAGAAAGAAAAGAACGTCCCTTGGATGTTTTTTTCCAAAGTTTGAAGCTTTTTTGACGTTTGCTCACGGTTGTTTTCTGGGTAGTTCATGTGTTGAGGTTCTATTCGTTCGGTTTCTTGGAAAATGAAACGGTGTTGAATTGAATTCGATTTGAAGTATCTTGCTTTGTTTTCTCTTCCTTAGTTTCGTTATGATTCGAATTTGAGTTCATTTTCCGAAAACTAGAGAAGACTAGAAGGACTAGAACTTTCTGGTCAAACTTACTTATTTTAATGCATCGATAGTATGTTATGGAAAACGTACGTGGTTCATCTTCCTAAATTGATTGTTTGAATTTTTTGCGTTATTATTCGTCAAATTTCTCAGCAACCAAAAGGGAATAAGTTCCTTCGAGTAAATCTATATATCTGATCTGTTCTGCTTTTGTTATGTGTCAGGTTGGATTCTGTAATTATCAAACTCTAAACAGATTTTGACGATTCAAGTTGATGGAGAATACTGGAAGCAGTGCCTTTCTGAGGAGTAGAAGATTGGAGAGTTTTCTGAACACAAGCTCTGGTCAAAGGGTGGAAGAGACTCCTAAAGTTTCAGTGAAAGAAGAACCAGAAAGAAGGCTAAAGACTCACATAGTTTCAAATTACGATGATGAAGGATGGTTGTTGGATATCATATCATGGATCAGAATTGTCATATGTTTTGTGTCTATGATGGTTACAACATTCATATGGGCATTAATCATGCTTGTTCTTATTCCATGGCCTTATGAAAGGATTAGGCAAGGGAACATTTATGGGCATGTGACTGGTAGAATGCTGGTAAGCTACTTCTTATGTTTACTGTGGAAACGAATTAATGTCACAAATGTTTTGTCTGGTTTCTGTTCATTTATCGGTTGTTATTTGAAGAAAATTTAGGGACATGATTTAAGTATTCACTCACTTTCCGGTACTATTATAAAGTATGGCAGTTACATATCTTTGTGGACTTGCATTAACTAACATTGCCTTGCAAATTCACAAACTGTGCTGTCATCATTATTCAACTTATAAGCAATTATATATCCTTATGTTTTTTCTCCAACTGATCATATGGAAAGTGACACATTTGAATCATTATCATCATTCCAATGAGGCATTAAAACTCAGTATGTTTATAATGACTGCCTTATTCCCAAGAGACGACAAACTAACTCTTTTAATCACAGAGATTACTCAAATAGTAAAATAACGAAGTTATATTTTAGATTTTGACATTACTTTTCAGTTATGCGAGGATACAGAGTATATCTTGATTGATTTAGCATGTGTATTAGTTCCGCCAAATCCATTGCTAAATGGTCCCGATTTTGCTTGTTTTGTGGATTCCATCAGTGATTTATTGTAGAACATATTGTTATATCAACCGTATTTTATCAGTAATTCTCAGTTATACTATTTGGGAAAAATGAAAGCCTAGTGTTGGGTTACATCGGCCAAATTTTGAATACATATTGGATTTTAGCTCGGAAGGCTTGTTGGATAAATTTCTAGTAAAAAAATCTATGTTTGCTTTGGGAGTGGTATGCTCGATAGCTTTCTGAACATTATCACCATACGAAACAGGACATGTCTCAAAAGTCTGATTTTTAGTCTTCACTATTTTTTTCATCGTTGTTTGTATTCCAACTTTTATGCTGTTTGACAAGTAATGAACGTATTATTGATATTCTCATTGATTGCAGATGTGGATTCTTGGCAATCCTATAAAGATTGAAGGTTCTGAGTATGCTAACAAGAGGGCCATTTATATCAGTAATCATGCCTCTCCAATAGACATATTTCTTATAATGTGGTTGACTCCAACTGGGACCGTAGGAATTGCGAAGAAGGAGGTATGTTGTAATTCTTCAAGGTTTTTTTTCCTTCCCCAATTTTAAATGCATAATGATGATTCTAAGTAATGCTTTATTTAGCAGTACTTCATTAAAAACCTTAGAAGAAGGACTCAAGAAGTACCCTTACCAAAGATTAGTTTCTCTTTGTGGTCAAGGTCCTTTGACAGTCCCCAGTCACCGATGGAAATGGATTTTCATTGAAACTGTCAAGTTCCCTAAAAGAATTCTTTTTGAAGGAGTCAATAATGTTATGTTGAGTTGTAAAGATGCCTATATATTTTAATTTTAGTGGAGAACATGATACTTCTAAAGAATTTCTTTTAAAGTCTTGTTCTCTTTATTTGCCTCTTTGGTCTGTGAAACCTTGCTTTCTTGCATTACGAATCAACATCATGCATTAATTCATGAGTCTGGGCAGCATTTAAAAAAGCACAGGAATTATGTATGATAGCCTAGTTTGGTAATAGAAATGTGTTCAAAATTGTAACTGCTTCAGAAACTTATTGAAACTTGGTTCTGTGCAGATAATATGGTATCCTTTATTTGGTCAACTTTATGTTTTGGCGAACCACCTTCGTATCGATCGCTCTAACCCAACCGTAGCCATTGAGTCCTTGAAAGAGGTATATAACATTCTTCCTATTATATTCATGTACCATTGACTTGAATTGAAAGGGGTTCTAAGATATGTTCTTGTTGTCCTCAGGCGGCTCGTGCAGTCGTGAGAAACAACCTGTCCCTGATTATTTTTCCAGAGGGCACGAGGTCCAAAAATGGACGGCTACTTCCTTTCAAAAAAGTGATTTTCCAACCATGTTGGATGCACTTCTTTCTTTACAGCTATAATTTAAATGAGGTTTTGTTGCAGAATCAGGGTGATAATAAATTAATCAGACTGTGAACTGGGCTTAATCTAGCTGGAAGAATTTATTTGATGGAGGACCTAAACCTTTGTTTCTTTGCTTATCATGATCACTTCATCCATATAGACCTTTGTAGGATGATAGATATTATCTATATGATTTGAAGTATCAATCTGTCAATTTTTTCTCTTTCTGGATCTCGAGGAACTAATCTATCCATGAGTGAGTCATGGGATATTACTCCCAATAGTGCTCCCCATGAGAATCAAACCTAGGTTGACAAAAAGAGATACTTTCTTGTCTTGCTGAGTCAACCCCTTTGGTACTGGCCATGTGGCAAACAGATTTTTACAATCTGAAACACTTGCTTCTATCATATTGCTCTATATATGCCATTACACCTCAACTTTCAACATGCAGGGTTTCATTCATTTGGCGATACAATCACGCCTTCCTATTGTTCCGATGGTCTTAACAGGCACTCATCGAGCATGGAGGAAAGGCAGCTTACATGTTCGTCCGGCCCCTCTCACTGTCAAGTACCTTCCTCCGATAAGTACTGAAAATTGGACGGATGATAAGATCGACGACTATGTCAAAATGGTACGTAACTTGTATGCCGAACACCTTCCTGAGAACCAGAGACCTTTGCCTTGAAGGTTTCAGAAATAGGTTCAAACTCCAACTGAACTGAGGTGCCTCTTTTTTGTAAACTATGAAGTGGAAGTTGCATCAGTGATCAAAGTCGTCCTCAATTGTTGCAACAGTCAGTAAGAACAGTGGAGGCTGGTGAGTTCTTGAAGGATTGTAAATTTTGCAATAAGCTTTGCTAGCTATAACTAATTCTAGTTTTCTTGTCTTGTAGCTTTCTCTGATCTTGTAAATCATTGGCACTTGATTTCGAATTCCATATCAGAGTTTCTGTGTACTGTATGACAATTCTTCAGTTTATAGTTTGTTTCTGTTACCAATTCAATCTGTTTCTTTCTTTGGAGGAACTCTTCATATGCTTTGTATAATCAAGAGCATGTTTAGTTTCACATTGTAAAATGTAAACTAGGAAATCATTTTAAGGTCAAACTAAACATGAACAACGAAGTAGGCTCTATGACAATGGTGAAAAAGATGTTTCATTAAAAAAAAAAAAAAGGAATTTATGGGTGAAAATGTCTCTTTTGGTCATTAAGAAAATAATTTAAAAGACACTGTCATCAAAAGCAGTGTTTTTTTTTCTTTTTTTATATAATAACCAATGTGGTTGCTGCGTCTCAATTATGGAATATTAGATGTCGCAACGTGGTTGTCTTATTAAAAGTCGTTTTAATATTGTCATGTCAAACATCAAAGACACGTAACCTTCATTAACTTTAGGTTTTACACTTTTTTTTTTGGACTTTTAAAACTTTATAATTATTCTCTAAAATTTTAAATTTATGAAAATAAATCACTTGGTTGTTATCAAAATTTATTGCATCCACATCATAAAAACAAGTTTTATTCTGCCGGGACAGGGCCCGCCACATAAAAAATTAGATGAAATGACAATAATTAGTAACTTTGTAAAAAAAAAAAAGTCATAACTTTTAAAATTTATAAATAATCAATTTAACTAATTTTTAATATTTATAAATTAGTTATTTAAATCAAAGGAAGTACTATTGTCTTGTTGTTCTGAAGATGGTGCGGTCAAAATTCAGTGTTAAAAAAAAAAAAAAAAAAAGCGGATGACACATTCTTTCAGTCTGTCATTTGCATATTATTCCAACAACCTATGTTCAGATTCAGTGCACGCCTTTGGAGGGACCCATTTATTATTATGATTATGCGAATCTACGTACCTCTCAAAAAGGTTCTGGTGCCCATCAGTACAACTACTGGGTTATACTAGCATAATTCAATTGGTATATGCTATTCCGATGGATATATAGATTGGTCACGTACTTTTAATAAGATGGTGACATAATTTTTTGAAAAATTGTAGAAAAAGACTATCAAAATAAAAAATTCTGTAAATAAAGACTCATTACAGGGTTTGACAATAATTTTATAAACATATCCCTATATGTAATTTTTAAATTTTTAGAATTTTTTTTGTGATTTTTTTCCGGAAAAGAAAGAGATAATGATACACTACTAAGCTTTAAAAAATCATCATATTATATTAGTAATTTACAGAAAATTTTAAATGATGAAATGTTTAACTTATTTATATTTATCTTCTCCTTCTCCTCCTCTTTTTTTTTTTTTTGCTGGTGAACTTCTCTTGCTAAAGGATATATTTGGTGGGATCTGGCTCCTCTCCTTTACCCCTTTCTATCTGCTGCCCTCCTTTGCCTCAAACTACATCGTTTTGATGCAGAAATAGTAAGGCCCCACTCTTTTTTTAAAAAAGTAAATATCAAACATCATGAAATATTTTTTTGTATTATTTATTATCTTGAAATATTTTTTCAGTACTATTTGGTATTCTAATATAATTTTTAGTCTAATTAGAGTATTAAAATATTTTTTTCTGTAGCACCCAATATTTGACTTTTAGCACATTAAAGTATTTTTCAGTACCACACAGTAACCTAAAATAATTTTTTAATACCACACAATATTCGAAAATAATGTTTGATCTAGTCAGAACCCTGAAATATTTTTTGGTGACACCCATTGTCTAATTTTCAATATACTGAAGTATTTTTCTTAGTAGCATTCAGTATTCTGAATTAATTTTTAGTGTATCTAGTCTGCTAAAATATTTTTTAAGCGGCACTTGATTTCTTGAAATAATTTTTGTTGCAATATTTTAAGGTATTGAATGTACTAAAAATTAGTGTAGGACATTAGATGCTACAGAAAAATACTTTAATATGCTGGAAGCCAAATATTAGGTGTTACAAAAAAAATATATTTTAGGGCTCTTACCATACCAAAAATTATTTTAGCTTATTGGGTGATACTAAAAAAATACTTCAATGTGTTGGAAGCCAGATATGGGGTGTTACTAAAAAAATATTTTAGGTCTCTAAATTGACCAAAAATTATAATATAATAGTAGATGGTAATAAAAAATATTTCAAGATAATAAGTAGTACTAAAAAAATACTTCAAAGTACTATATGTTTATTTAAAAGAAAAGAAAAAAGTTCCCCCTCCCTGTTTCTACACCAAAACGGTGTAGTTTGAGGCAAAGGAGAGCAGCGGATGGGAAGGGGCAAAGGAGAGAAGCCGGATCCATATTTGGTGTCCTCGATTTTTAAGGCGAGTTTTTTTTTTTTTTTTGGTTGAAAAAAATGTTTCCAATATTTTTTTTCATAACACCGAGCACCTCAATTTTGAAAAATGTTTTCGCTCCAACGAGTTTTGGTTCCAGATCGTGCTACCGAACTAATCTAAGGCCACGTTCACATTTCCAGGTCAACGTTGTGTGGGGGCCACACTAATATTTACACGTGGCAAAATTCTATTGCTCTGTCACAGCTTTCGCTCACAGCCTGTCTAGCCCTTACGTTAACACTCCGCTGTTTGTTCGCTTCTGAGTTCTCAGTCAGTCGCCTGAGCCCAACCCAATACACACTTCCCTCGTCGTCTTCCCCATGATTTTCTCAATCGCAAGCTATTTACTAGTTTGAGTTTGCATCTAATCCTCCATAACACGAGGGCCCTAAACGGTTTGGTTTCTTGTAACCTCTCTCTCTCTCTCTCTCTCTCGTATTCGCTTATTTAGCTTTTGCATGCCCTTTATGTTTAATCAAACTCAAACTGGGGATTTATGTGACCTTTATTTTCTATTTTGGGATTTTTTTTTTGGGGTAAGGAAAACGTTGTTTGGTTGCGAAAAGGAGAGAAATTTTTAACTACAAAAATGTTAAACCCTTGACCCCTGGTGTACGAGTACTTTCCGGATTTTAGTTCTTTAATCGTATTTTCGGGAATTTTTCCTTTTTTTTAAAACTTTTTAAAAAAATCAAACTGCTTGCATGCTTTTCGATGAGTATGGTATATGTACTAGTTTGCACTCCATGCTTTACTGAAATGTAAGATTTTTAAGGATTTGGAGTTTCATTTATTGCTTCATGTGTTCATATTGCTAACTTTACGGTTCTGAAGGAGGTCTGGTAGCTAGAATCTCTAAAAGCTATTTTATTTTGCATTGAATAGTTTGTTCATTTATGTTGGTGATGTCTTTCTGGAGCTATTTCATTAACCTTCTATGGCTTCAGTTTCCCCATTCATTGTCTCCTTTTCGTAATTCATTTGGTTTGCTCGTGTAGAAATCACTTTCTGTTTAATGACTTCATACAAAGACTGATTTGATAGTCATTTGGGCTACGTCTGCTCCTCATTTGCTTCTACCTCTCATCAGTCTACTTTTCATTGTGTTTTGATGCTTTATCAATTTTGTTTTTCCAAGTCTAGAACCTATTTATCGTTTGTTATGATTCGCGTTGATATGTTGATACATGCATCTGTGTACTGTGTATCTTAAGTGCGACGATTTATTCAATTTAATCTCCAGTCTGCACCCAAAGAAAAAAGAAAAGCAAAAGGAAACCTGGAAATCACTGGTAATTTGGTACAGACTATAATCAGTAATTCAGCCTTATGAACGACAGTTGTCTGTTTTGCGTTGCATTGTTCCCTCCAAGTTTTCGGGGCTACTATGAAAGTTCCATCATACTTGTCTTCTTGCTTCATTTCTGCTTTAACTGCTATAAATTTATCGCAGATTGAATTCAAAATGCGGACAACTTCATTTTGGCCCAAGATAAAGATTATGTTGCATTAGATTATTTTGACTACAGTTGGCAGTTATGCTATACTGCTATCATCTCTATCATGCCTGCATGAAATTGATGGATAAGCTCCACTGTTATCGGGAGGATAGTTATTAGTGGATCATAGTTCATTGCCCTTTATTTGACCTATATTGAGCACTTGAGAAAATTTTGATCCTAGTGCGCACCAGTATACTTACAAGCAGTTTTTTCTTCGTTCAGAGGAAGGAGACACTGGAGTACTATATATGCAAAGATGGACCAGCCAAATCCTAATAACAACTTTGATAGCTCTGGAGACATCCCTTTGAAGCGCAAACGTGGTCGTCCAAGGAAATATCCAAAACCATATGCGGAAGAGAATGCCCATATCCTAAATATTCAGAATGTAAACCAGAATCCAGTTGGTGGAGGAAATGCCAGTGTTCCTCCAGGGTTTGACAGGGTTAATGGAAGTCAGCCCCATCGAAGGGACATTGGAAATGATTTGAATGATCCCATGGTTGGTCAGGTGGTTTCTTGTGTAATTGAGGCAGTATTTGATGCTGGATATCTGCTTAGTGCTAAAGTTGGTAATTCCAATACCACTTTAAGGGGTCTTGTCCTAAAGCCTGGACATTATGCCCCTCTTTCAGCTGAAAATGATGTGGCCCCAGGTGTTCCCATGATCCAAAGAAATGAGGTTCCCTTCTCCGGAGGAGCTAATGTGAAGAAACCTCACCGAAGAGAAAGAAATAAACATTACGTCAATATCCATAGAAATGCGGGTCATACAATGAAAGGATCACCCTCTTTCAGTCAGTCATCTAGAGGAGCGGTTAGCTCCAGTGGTTTGGTTGCATCTCAAGGAAAGAATCAGCAGTCAATGGAAAGACAAACTAATTCTCTACTATCTAGAGGTAATGTGGTCCCTGTTAAGCTCCAACCTGTTAATTTACAAAATGGGGTTATGGTTTCTAATCAACCTTCTCAAGCCATGACCCAAGCATCTCTTGGAAGCACACCAATTGTTGCCAAAGATATTCTTGCCGATGGAAACCAAATGCAGATTTCTCAAGCTCTAACTAGCCAGAATTTGTTGCCAAGAGGGACGCAAAATGAAAATGGTTCGCCCAATCTATCTTCAGCTGAGGTTCAAAGAGTGGAGGCCAACTCAATGAGACAGCCCGGCATGCCTTTTGAGAATCTGGTTACTGAGGTTGTTAGGAGAGTCGAAGCACCATCTGAATCCATAGATACTGATACTAACAACAGCAAGTCAGTAGAAAACATTTCTATAAAGGATTCTGGCAGTGGGCAGGAAGAGAAAGTTAGTGATGTGGGTCAGCCACTTTTGATAAAGCCTTTACAAGCTGTACAAACCGTTTCTCAGGAGCATTCTGCGTCTGCTTCCGGATCTTCTGGAAATAGTGAAGCAGGCAAAATGATCGACCAACCACAGGTAAAAATAAACATTGAAAAATGTAGTTTCTTTCGCCTTGAATAATCTGTTCATTGCCTTGAACAAGACATATGTAATTATGACTCGTGCTATGATGTAATAAGGTTTTGCAGGGTAACAGAATTGAGAAACAGCCACTCCAAGCAGAAGAACTAGCGTCTGGAAACAAGTTGGATGGCAATTTTAAAGCCGAACCTGATGAAAAAACTGGTCAAGCAGCATAACTCACGATTTTAAACTTTCAATTGGCAGGTTGATAATGTTGCCATTATCAGCTATTGCCACGGTATATTCATTGATTGTAAAAGTAGGCCATCCAGGATATATCTATATACTTAGGGATTGAAGGATTTGTTCTCAAATCTTGAGGATATTGGCTGGGGTTTAGCCTGCATGCCTTGTCATGTTTGTCGAGAGAACTTGATAGTGAGCTAGTTTCCTTACAAGGCCTTTGATATGTAAAATTTTGTTGTGTATTGAAACCAATTGTACGAATAGTACCATCCTATTTTTGTGGTTTTTTTAATGTTATTTTTATTCTTAAATCATTTGAGATTACATGATCATATTGAAAGCGGATATTGGAATGGCAATAACGGAATACAGAAACGATGGATGTGTGCTTATTACGTAAACAGATACATGTGGTGTCACAGAACATGTTAATCATCCGAAATATCACTAACTCTTATTTATAAATTTTTTGAAGTGTTATCATACAGTTTGGGTACAATTTTTTAAACATCTTATTTTACTAGTAATTGATAATTAATATATCATACGTGTCTTTTTTATTTTTGCATATTAAAAAAAAAGAGATGTAGTAATAAATCACTTTAGAAGATATAACCTCAGCTGCCCTATGTGGCTCTTCTTTAAAGATTCAGGGGATTTGATTCATTGGACCTGCCAACACGATCAGTTAGTTCTACTACAATGCGGTTCAGCTGTGTTCGACAAACTTACGAATCTCATGACAAAAATGTGGAGAACTGCACTTTATTACTATTAATGCTACTACTATTCTCCATCCAGGCCAGGAGCACAACATCTTCCCAGAAAAGAAATAATTCCAGAGGGAATAACAAACCTAATTGTGAAACATTTTGTTGGCCAAAAAAAGGAAAGCAAAAAATCTGTCAACCATTTTTGTCTGCCATACATAAAAAAATAGCTCTATTGTGACCCACCCAGACCTGTAAGGTAAGGCAAGATGCTCCTCCAAATGTAACCAAAATACAGTTGAGACTTCAAAACATGATTTTTGTCATCAATAAGTAAATGTCTTTCATGTTTGGAGCGGCTTGCAAATCTTAAGACTTGGCCATCATTCGTTGCTCTTATCTGTGGTTCCTGTCAGAGAAGTAGATGAATACATAAATGAAAAGAAACAACAAGAATCATTGCTCCTCCAAATTTCAAACGCCATTTTAAGAGTGAAAATTTAATTTTTACAAAAATGATGACTAATTTGAGGAAATCAACTGTGATATATAAGCTGAGAAATCATGGTGCACATGTAAAGAAATTGACTCTGTTGCAGCATATTATACGTAAAGCCATCTTGAATTATATACGGAAAAATGTTGAATATATTAAAACAAAATCCAAAATCAAAATAAATCTAGATCGTACCTCTGTTCCCTTAAGAAGCAGAATCAACTATGCTGCTCCCAATATTTGGGCAATCATGTCTGCGAACTTTGCAAAGCTCTTTTGTGGGTAAAAGGATTCCAACATTAACAAGACTCTTCAATTTCTCGATTCTTAATTCTTTCAAATTTTGCAAGATGAGTGGCTCCCCATACACAGGATCTGCGTCATTACCATGTCTGAAAATCTCCTTTAACTGAGGAGCATCAACTATGATTAGACTGCTTAGTTGAGGAAGATTTCTAGCTATGGCAGTAGAAAAAAGGCTTTTCAACTTGTTGCATCGCCACACTTCAATCCTTGAAAGTTTTGGAAAGCACGCTTGAGAAATGGATACATTATCATATTTTTCATTCTCTGCAACAATTTCTTCCAACTCTTCACAGTTTCCTATGTATAGTTCCTGTAACTCTGGCAGGCATCTTTGGATAACTGAAGGAAAGACAGATTTTAGCTTTCTGCACCTACTCACAGTCAAAGAACGAAGATGTTGAAGCCTCAGAGCTTGTGACAAAGTGGAAGCTGTCCATATGAACCTCAAATCATGTACATTTAGTAAGGACAACTTTTCTAATTTTGAGGTTAAGTATTCCTTGCCAAGGTGGGTTTCCTGTAGATAGAAGATCAGAAAGTTTGACTCAAATTTATAGTTGAGACTAAGTTACAACAAAATTTTTTATTCTTTTTAGTGTCAATGAATGATATGAACCAGATTTATGCATTATCAGTTATTACCAAATTAGAGGTAAATGCACCCAAAGTATGTATGGTACAGACTGCGGCCTATTGATGCTTCATACACTGTTGCCTTTTTATGATTCTTTTAGAAAAAGGAATAGTAATGTATACTCATGCCTCAAGTTATTTTGAATGGAAAAGTTGTTCGTATTAATGTCTATACATTCATCCATTTCCCCCCCAGTTTTCATACCAACTCAATTCAGCGGCATGGCATTTCATGAGTAGCATAATACAGTCTTATCATATGCAGATTTGAGATTCTGCCTACATGCCGTCTATTTGATTGAAAGAAATTCTTGAAAATAAAAGCATCGGAGAGATCAGTACCGTATTTGGAGGAAGCTGTTGATGTTCCAAAGCAAAATTCAAATTGTTGTGAGATGAATTTGTGCTCAATTTGGGACAAGTTCTCCATGTTAGTTTCTTAAGACATTCCCAGCTTAAATTATAGTTTCCTGCGAAAATCCCAAGAAGATCTGGGAGACTTTGAAGTTCTATTTCTTCTAGGAGAGGAAGCGCCATCTTGGTCCTGTTCAGATAAGATAATTGATCTTCATTGTGGGATGGACCAAAGATATATTTCATCTTAGGGGCACGAGAAACCTGTATTTTCCGCAGCTGCAAAAGGCCTTCAACACAAGAATTTGGGAGTATAAATTCTAACTTGTTACAGGAACTGATGATGAGCTCCTTCAGTTCAGGGAGTACCTCATGAGAATCATATGGCATATGAACTGTTACATCCTCCGCATCTGTGCCATCTTCTTTTTCACTATTTATTATATACCTCAATTCTGAGCACTCTTTGATAATTAGACATTCTAGCTTCGCCAGAGTCCTTGCAACCGACATCAGGAAGATGGATGTCAAAGTCCGGCATTTGAATATTGAGAGCTTCTTAAGATTCTGCATGTTACATTCCCGAGGAAAGATGTTGTGCAACTGGTTGCAAGACACCATTCTAATGACTTGTAACTTCTCAAAGAAACAATGCACAAATGGACCACGCCACAATTCTTTTAAATTATTCATACGTTCCAGACATAACTCAACCAGTTCAGGGAATGCTGCATCTAGCAGGATTTTATCTGCATTATTGGAAGTAGAATCTACTAGGCATTCCAACTCCGAACAAAAAATGAGCTGGAGATGAGTCATCTCATTCATGCATCCGACAGCTTGAACTGTAGCTGGAAAGATATTTTTGCATCCTCCACGAAGGCCATACAGACGAACATCCAATGTCCTTTGCAGAAGATACTTAACAAAAGCATCTGAAGCTGAGGGATTAAATCCGTTCACATATAGATTTTTCTTGCTTGATGAATGCAGTTCACATGGATAGCTCATAAGCGGCCCTAAATATAATTTGTACCTCTGCAAATTTGGGAAAATAACATCATCATCATCCCTGAAGCATTGATAGTGATCCATAATTCTAGGACTTGAGCAATCGCCATGGCCGAATGCATATAACTCTTCTAGTTGTGAGCATCTTCTTATTACTTCAAAACAAGGCTCCTTGATTATGCATTGTGACAAATCCAGCGACTTCAACTTGTCCAGCATTGTGATTCCATTGGGCAGTTCATTGAATTTACTATCTTGCAAGTCAAGAATCTTAAGTCTTTTTAGGCTCACCACAAAAGAGATATCACCCAAATCCAACCCTACTAAGCGCAGAGTTTGAAGATTAGTCAACATCTCCAATGATTGGGGGAATGATATAGCCATTTTCCGATAATAACTTTTATCGATCAAAGCCAGAACCTTAAGTTCTTTCAGACCTTGAAATGATTCATCAGATAATTCCAAGCAACCTGTCAATCCCAGGGGAACTGTATGAGCAGAAAGATTTATTAGCAGGATCTGAAGTTTTGGAGCATCCAATCTATGAAGAAACTTATCGGTTCCATTATTGTACCATGAAGACAGTGCATAACAATCTTTTGTGGCTTCACTTTCTATTGATGTGTTCAGATTTCTGGCAGGATTTACTATAATAGCTCGATCTTTTGATGCTATCCATAAAGCTACGTCACGAACCATATCATGCATTTTTACATGGTCCTTTTTAGGGCGAAAGAGCTGGTCAACTTTACTCATCTCACAACGCATCAACAGACAAGAATCTACAAGTGTATTAATGCACATTCTCAATCGGGTACTAGCTGAATCAAATGACCCCCCACAGATACCCAGTCCCACTCCATATTTGACCAAGTCGTCAACAGGGATCTCATGATCTTCTGGAAACACAGAACATATCAAGAAAAGCAACTTGGTATCATCTCTTTTCAAGTAATCGTAACTTAATTTAAGACAATTGAAAGCATCCCCAAGGCCTTCATCCACATCCACAGGTTTTGAATCTCTCAAACTTTGTAATGCTACCTTCCACTCATCAACTCCATTTGATTTTCCTTTTAAGGAGGATCCCACAGTGACAATTGCAATGGGCAGTCCTTTACATTCCTTACAAACCTCCCGTTGCAGTTGCATATTGTTCGGCAAGTTGGAAGATAACACAGCATCTATGCCTGCATGCTTTCGGAATAAACTCCAAGCTTCCTCTTCAGATAAGAGATCTAGGGGAATCCTCTTTCGACAGTCCATTAAACTGCACACGTCATGACGACGAGTGGTAAGAAGCACCTTACAACCCTTGAGATTTCCATCAACAGGAATCCCTATATCCTCAAGGTTGAGCTTTGTCCAGACATCATCCAAAATTATGAGAATACGTTCGCCACTTTGTAATCTCACAGATATCCGCCTTGCTTTCCCTGCTTCACTTTTTTCATCCAATTTCAGGCCCAACAAGTCAGCAATTTCGTCTTGAATTTTCATGACATTTGGAGACTGGGACACAGTGGTAAATACAACATGATCAAATAGCTTTAATTCTTTTGCTTTCTTACCCACTTCTTTGACCAGTGTTGTTTTCCCAGAGCCTCCCATCCCATATAAACCAATTATATAACTACTATCATCTTTTAGTGCTTCCAAAAGTTGATCAGCAGCCAATCTTGTAGACTTAAAATACTCAAAGTTTCCAGAAGAGAAATGCTCTATATCTGGAATTGGGACAGGGAAGGAAAATGGTTCAAAGTGACATTTTTTGTTCAGCTGCATCATAGCCTCTGTTTTC